AAAAGTTAATTACAAATGGATTATAAATCTAACTGTAAGAGCTAAAACTATAAAACTCCTAAAAGAAAATATAAAGTCTTAGTAACCTTCATTTGGGCAGTTTCTTAAATTCAATATTAGTATGAACTTTAAAAGGGAGTAAGACAGCCTTTGTGAAAAATTTAAAACTTTTGCTTTCAAACAATGCTTTTGAAAAATGAAACAGGGTGAAGGATGTAGCTCAATGATACATTTTTAACTAGCATGTGTGAGGTCCTATGTTGGATCCACTTCACCACACACACACACACACACACACACACACAAAGTGTGGCAGAGTACACTCAGTACATTTGCAGCCCAGGGCTCAATGTCCAGCACCAAAAAAAAAAAGACAGTTTTTATCTTTCAGATTGAGAGAATGTGTTTGCAAAACATACTACCTGACAAAGAATTTTTATCTAGAGAATATAAAGAACCTTATTACTCAAGAAAATAATTTTTAAAATATGGTGAAAAGACATGAAATAACACTATACCAAGACAGATACAGAGTAAAGAAGCACATAAAATGATGTTCAGTATTATTAGTCTTTAAAGAAATACGAATTAAGAAGCCACCCAGACACCAGTGGCTGGGCAGCAGACTCCAGCTAGATGCCTGCTGGGACAATAGTGGTGAGGATGCACAGACCTCAGGCAGGGTCCCACCCAGACACCACCAACTTGGGCATGTAGGCGCCAGCCAAAGGCCCATCTGGAAAACAGCTGTGCAGGCTTGCAGACCTAGCCAAAGACCTGGCAAGATACCATTGGTAAGTGTACACAGGCTCCAGCTAGAAGCCTGCAGGGACAACAGCCCAGTGCGGGGTTCCAGAAGCCATCATTCTGAAACAGGTATTGGCATAGTGGTGACCAGCAGAGAGGCCTCTCTGAGGCTTGCTGAGAATTAAAGCCCACTGGGATAGCAGTCACCTCAATAAAGGCACAGAAGACTGCATTAGTTGAATGAGAAGATGCCTAAACAAGGCTCAAAACCAGACTTCCAGATCACCAAAGGCAACCTCAAGGGGCAATGAGATAAAACAATCTGAAACTCAACCACGTGGACTCTAAACTAGCAATGACAGGGGATCTGGAAAAAATAAAATCAGAAATAATTTCTCAGGGGCCGGGGATTTAGTTCAGTGGTTTTGCCGCCTGCTGCGCAAGCGCAAGGACCCAAGTTCAATCCCCGGTACCAAAAAAAGAAAAATAATTTCTCAGACAACAGATATAATGTCTATAGGGAAAGACATGATTAACAACTCTGGAGCAGACACAGATAAAAAAAATAACAGAGGAGCTGAGAAAATAATGGCATCCCAGCATAGGAAACAAATGGAATCCATAAAACAGATGCAAACAGATATCCAAGAGATTAAAAACTCCACTGAAAGTTTATACAGCAGAATGACCCAATGTGAGGACAGAGTATCAGATATAGAAGACAGGACTGCAATTAGTGACCAGGAAAAGAAAGATTTCTTAAAAAGACCAAGGGACCATAAGAAATTGATCCAGCACCTGCTAGATGATGCAAAGAATAACATAAGACTGATCAGTCAATGAAGAAACAGGAGAGAGTGCAAATAACATAAAAAAATTGCTCAAAGGGCTGAGGATTTAGCTCAGTGGTTTCACCACTTGCTGTGCAAGCACAAGGACCCGAGTTTGATCCCCAGTACCCCCCGAAAAAAAATGCTCAAAGAAGTACTGGCAGAAAACTTCCTAAGCAAGGGAAAAGAATTTGACATATAGATAACTGAGGCATGATCCAACTAGCAATGATCAAACACAATCTACACAGAGACATATAATAGTCAAGATTCCAGAAACCCAACTGAAGAACAAACTTCTACAAGCAGTTAAAAGAAAAAAAAAACAAATCACAAAGGAAAGCCCATCAGAATCACAGCAGACTTCTCAACACAAACCCTCAAGGCAAGAAGAGCCTGGAGTGAAGTATTTCAAGCCAGATTAATGTACCCTACAAAACTATCTTTCAAAATCGATGGAAAAGGTACTTTCATGACAAAGAGGAACTTCATGAATACCAAACCAGCACTTGAAAAAGTTTTAAACAGTATCTTAGGAAATGACAATGAGGGTCACAACCCCAAGAAACCCAGCAGAATGAATCCATCACACATGAAAAGAAATTAAACGCAAAGAGGGACAATCCAACAGGAAAAGGTCATGACAAGGATAATTTGATACATATCAGTTATAACCATCAATGTTAATGGTCCCAATTCACCAATCTTTTTTTTTTTTTTGGTACCAGGGACCGAACTCGGGTCCTTGAGCTTGCACAGCAGGCGGTGAAACCACTGAGCTAAATCCCCAGCCCTCAATTCACCAATCTTAAGAAATAGACTGGCTGGGCGGGGGATTTAGCTCAGTGGTTCCACCTCTTGCCTCACAAGCACAAGGACCCGAGTTTGATCCCCAGTACCAAAACAAAGAATGGGTCAAGAAGCAAGATCCAAAAAAAAAGAGCAAGATCCAACAACATGCTGCATACGAGACACACTTAATTCAAAAGAAACTCACAGACTAAAAGTTAAGAGGTGGATAACAATACACCATTAGACAGGAACCAAAAAAAAAGGAGGACTAGCTATCCACTTTGGAGACGAAATGGATTTCAAACCAACACTAATTAAGAGAGATGAAGGCCACTACATCGCTGTAAAGGAAACAATCCAAGAGGAAGAGATAACAATCATAAATATATATGCACCAAACACTAGTGCACCCAACTATATAAAACAATATTAACTGACATGAAAAAGCAAATAAGCACTAATACAATAGCAGTGAGGGACCTCAATACCCTACTGTCACAAATAGATCACTAGACAAAAAATAAACAGTGAAATACAACTCAACCAAACTCTTGAACAAATGGACTTAACAGATGTTTACAGAGTATTCTACCCGACAAAATCAGAATACGCATTCTTTCCAGCTGCATACAGGTCGGTCACAAAAATAAACCACATGCTTGCTCACAGAACATGTTTAAGTAAATGCAAAGGCACTGAAATCATCCTCTGTATATTATCAGATTATAGTGCAATGAAATTGGAGATCAATAGAAAAAGAAACCGCAAGAATTTCATGAACACATGGAAATTGAACAACACACTCCTGAACAACCAATGGGTCATAGAGGAAATTAAAGAAGAAATCAGACAATTTCTACAACTAAATGACAATTCCAATACAACACATTGGAATTTATGGGACACAATGAAAGCAGTCTTATGAGGGAAATTCATAGCAGTGAATACTCATATTAGGAAAACAGTGAACTCAATTAAACAACCTGATGCTGAACCTCAAGCTTCTAGAAAAAGAAGAGCTGGACAAACCCAAAGCTCATACAAGGGAGGAAATTATAAAGATCAGAACAAGACAAGGATGTCCCCTATCACCACTCCTGTTCAATATAATTCTGGAAACATTAGCCACAGCAATTAGACAAGAGAAAGAAATAAAATAAAGACAGGAAATGAAGTTAAACTGTCATTATTTGCAGATGACATGATACTCTATATAGAAGACCCCAAGAACTCCACCAAAAGTCTTCTAGGCTTAATAACAAAATTCAATAGAGAAGCTGGATACAAGCTCAACACACAAAAATCTATAACCTTCCTGAACATAACAAGAGACTCACGGAGAGAAGTACTGGAGAAACAACTCCTTTCACAATAGCATCCAAAAAAATGAAATACCTAGGAATCAATCTAATGAAAGAAATCAAAGACCTGTACTGTGAAAACTACACACTCTGAAAAAAGAGATAGAAGAGGAAATCAGAAAATGGAAAGACATCCCTTGGTCCTGGGTAGGAAGAACCAATATAGTGAAAGCCATACTTCCAAAACTGCTATATAGATTCAATGCAATCCCAATTGAAATTCCAACAGCATATTTCATGGAACTAGAGAAAACATTCTAAATATTCATTTGGAAATAGAAGAGACCTAGACAGAAGAGACCTAGAAGAGCAAAAGCAATTCTAGGCAACAAAGACAAAGTAGGGGGTATCACAATCCCCAACTTGAAACTATACTACAAAGCTACTGTGATAAAAACAGCATAGTACTGTCAAAGAAACAGACCAGAAGATCAATGGAACAGATTAAAAGATGCAAAAACAACTCCAGACATACTAAGCCATCTCATCTTTGATAAAGGAGCCAAACACCCTCACTGGAGGAAAGATAGCCTCTTTAATAAATGGTGCTGGAAAAATTGGGTTTCAACTTACAAAAGATTAAAACCAGACCTATATCTCTCACCATGCACTAAACTAAAATTGAAATGGATCCAATACCTAAATATCAAAACAGAAACACTAAATCTGGTGGAAGAGAGATTAGGTAGAACTCTTGAAGACATTGATGTAGGAAAAGATTTCATGAACAAAACCTTAGGCTGACACTTTGTCTGGCAAATAAAAAGGGTCTATCACCTTGCTTCCCACAGCTAGAAACCAAAAAAATTTAACTTTAAGGTACTTCTTGGAAAAGACTAGCACCAGACCAAGTTATCCAGATAATGGGTTATAACTTCAGAAAGTGGGATAAGAGGTTTGTTCCATAAATATATTTGTATTATGTGAATCAACCACCAGGACACCAAGATCTGCTGTTTCTACCAACTGCTTTGAGGTAACTGAAGTATGGCAGTCACCTCAGACCCAGCCCCTCCTTTTTCTGCTCTTTGACACTGGTCTGTGTCCTTTTTATTCAATATAGTGTGGAGAACAAGCGTGCTGAGGCTCTGTCATCTCAAAAGAGTTTTCTGAGTATGAAAGGCTAAAATTTAGCCAGGCATGGTGGCACATGCCTATGATCCCAGGATTCAAGGGGCTGAGACAGGAGGATCACTGCCAGTTCAAGGTCAGCCTGGGCTCCACAGTGAATTCAAGGCCAGCCTCAAAAAAATAAAATAAAAGGCTAAAATGTAAAAAAAGGAAAAAGGATATATTTAATAGGCAATAGGGGTATAACTCTGAGCCATGTGTTCAGCAAGTATGAGGCTTGGTTTCATTCCCCAATGCCCCTCCCCATAAAAAGGACTCAAAAGGGAATTTATTATGCTGCAAAATCATATCTTCTTGTTTCGTGACATGTTGGAAACATAATCCTTAGGGCTTTTTTGGCTCCACTGCATAGAGGTCTAATCGCTTTTGTCTTAAAATTGGGATCTGCTGACGTATTTCAGCCAACTTCTTCAGGTCTGCAAAAACAGCAAAGTGCATAATTTAATAATTTGCAACTTCTTACTAACCAAGAGAATTGCTCCCCTAAACTGTGAAAACAACCAGCATTTCAACAAGTGACTCAGCAATATTGGCCTTATCCAAACACACAAATGGCCTGGCACCGGTCCTTAGAACATTTAAATCCAAACCAAGAAAATCCAAGCTAAACTATGCCTAGAATATTCTCAAGATAAATAAGGAGTGGCAATAAAGGAACCCTTCCAAGTGACTAAAGTGTCATAGCTATGGAATCTGGTCTCAGACAGTGGGGACACCACAGAGTTAAACTTCGCCAGGGCAAATCTTACCTATATCTGAATACAGGATCATTTCTTCAGTGCCAGCTTTGGCTAGGACTTCACCCCTGAAATAAATTCAGAGGAGAATGAGCAGATTCACTGATGTCTGGTGATACTCAAGACCTCTGCATTTTTCCCTCACCATCTCACAAACTAAAACAAAATGATTCTGAAATCTAAAAGAAGAAGATAGCAGGGTAGAGTGGTACACTCTACAGCTGAGGCAGAAGGATTACAAATTCAAGCCTAGCTTAGGCAACACAGCAGGACCTTGTCTCAAAATAAATAAAAGGTGCTGGGGATGAGAGGATGTAGCTCAGTGACATGAGTGCTTGCCTAGCATGTGTGAGGCCCTGGGTTCAATCCTGAGTACCACAAAACAAAAAGAGGAAAAAAAAAAAAAGAAAAATCAAGAAGTAGGTATATAAATTCCTGTTCTGTTGTTTAAGTAGCTATGTAACTTTGTGGCAAGTCACTGAGAATCTCCATTTTTTAATCTAACAAGTAGAAATAAGAGCTTTATATGGCTTAGTGAGATAATTAAAGAGTATGTTTTATAACCTGCAAACTGCTAGGAAATGGTGCTATTCCATGTTTATAAACAGTTGGCAATAAAGCCTATAACTTAATAATTGTTAGAGCCTACAGCCAACTGGAAGCACCATCCTACTTCCTCATGAGGGCCTTTCCAAGGGTTGTCTCAGTCTGCTCTTCACACCTGCTTAGGCTGCTACCCGACCTGAGTGTGTTGAGGCTGGGCCTGGCCAGGCCCCAGATCTGCTAGGATTTCTCTGTGCCAAGGTCCCTGGATCTCTATGCTAATGGATTTTAGTTTTAGATTACAGATAAAGATTTCAATCTTAGTGCTCACTTCGGCAACACATATACTAAAAAGATTTCAATCTTAAGGGTATGGGTAGAAGTGGTCAGGGATCCACATGCTGACAGGAACAACAATCCTAAAAAGTTCCAGTGAAAAGCTGATCTGGGAACCTGTTTCCAGTGCTTAGTCTCTTGGCCTAGAGCAGAGGTTCAAAATACAAGTAGTGAAATGAATGCTTTCCAAAGTATCTCATAATAATATAACTATTGATTCCCCTTACGAGACAGTCACAAACATTTTGGCACAGATGAGCTACAAACACCACCATTAATGCCATTTAACTAAATCATTTTTTGTTCTTTTCTAATTCTTGTCTGGCAATTCAAAGATCCCTCTCTGCAGAGCCCTAGATAACCACACCATGTCAGTGTAAACCAGAGTCCCCAGAGTCCCCAAACCCTGCAAAGGAGGAAGTAAAGACCGACCATATGCAATTACATCATGTCAGAAGCAGCAAACATGGGCCAGGGATGTAGCTCAATGGTATAGCACCTGCCTGACAAGCACAAGGCTCTGAGTTTTATTCCTCGTATAAAAAAAAAAAACCAGCAAGCTCAATCAGTAAAAGTCTATCAGGAAAACTAGCTGTGGAGTAGAGCTTTCCAAGAGGCAGAGCTAGGAAGCCTATTACTAATAACTAGATACAAGGGAGCCGGGGGTTTAGCTCAGTGGTGCCACCGCCTGCCTCGCAAGCGCAAGGACCCAAGTTCAATCCTGGTACCAAAAACAAAACAAAACAAAACAAATAACTAGACAGAAGAAGTGGATGCAAGTTCACAAAAATGCTCAAGCATTTCATTCAGTGGTTAACCCTCCATACCCTAACGAGTAAAAGGATCACTGAGGATTTCTCAAAGATCACATCTTCCAGGCCTCCCCACCACACACATGGAGCTTTGAGGGCTGTCATGTCAGAAGAGTGAAACTTTTGGGACCCCACACTGTTGTTTAGCCTTTCTCATCTTGTTTCTGGTATTTACCCTGAAACTAGAAATACATATCAGTCTGTATGCATATATTCATTTGTAAACAGGATGAATATAGATTAAAGCAAAGTTCTGACGTCCAAAGTCATGGACCCAAACACAAGTTCTAGCCACTTTAACTCTGTGAACTCCAATTCTACCATCTATAAACTGAGCTTAGTAAGGGTAAGCCCCTCAGTTCAAGTTGAGATAGTGCATGAAAGTGCAAGGTAAATTACAAATGCAGACTGAAAGTTATGCATATTAAGGGATGTATGTATGTGCATCTGGACAGACTTTCATGCTACTTTCACTAAGTAATAAAATGCAGTACCCAAGGGACAGAATCAGTTTCCCCTACTGAACCTATCCTCCTTTTTCCCCTCATCATTATGCTGGGAACAAAGACCTCACTCTGTAACTTATTCCTCCCCAAGAAAGAGCCTAAATTTTAACCAAAAGCCAAGAGTTCAGGAGCTTCTCTTACTAAAAACACCCACCCATTACTGCTGATTTGATTACCCTAAGAGATCCAAGTATGACTGACAATGAAGGTCACTTGGACAAGCAGAAGAGTGCTAAGCACTCACTCAGGTAAACAAAAAAATTTCCTTCCCACACAGTTTTCAAGTAGAAGCTTTTCTTAATGTCTGCCAGGATGTTTAGGGAAATGGGGTGGAAGGAAATGCCCATTCATCTCTCAAGCTCCACTGAGCCCACCCTCACTCAGACAACACACTTACCAAGGATTCACAATGGTGCTGTGTCCCCAAGCAATATATGAGGCTTTGTCATCCCGGGCAGGAGAGGCCGTGGCCACATACACCTGATTATCAACAGCCCTGTAGACAATGGACAGAAAAGAGTAAAGATCTGCAACAGTTTTCTATCCTTTGTGTACAGATCCTTAAAAAAAAATAAGACAGAAACAATTAAAATAGTAGTAGAAGAAAACATAAGGCATAAGAAAACTCCAGGACATTGGAGTGGGCAAAAATTTTCTGGCCAAGACTTGAAAAGCACAGGAAATAAAAGCAAAAATTAGACAAATGGGATTATAACAAACTAGAAAGCTCCTGCACAGTAAAGGAAATATTGCAATCACCACAGTGAAGAAACAACCTACAGAATGGGAGAATATGTTTGCAAACTATACACAATATCTGACAAAGGGTTAATAACTAGAATATATAGTTGACTCTAAAAACTCAATAGCAAAAAAACAAGAAAAACCTGATTTTAAAAATGGGCAATGGGATGGGGATGCAACACCTGGTAGAGGACTTGCCTAGCATGCACAAGGTCCTAGATTCAATTCCAGCACCAGCAGAAGAAAAATAAAGGGCAACAGATCTAGAAAGACATTTCTCAAAGAAAACATACAATGCTATGGTTTGAATCCTGAATGTCCCCTGCAACAGCCCATGGACAGACTTTGTAGGCCATGGTATGACTGGGAGGTGGAGGAAACTTTAAGAAGTGGGGCCTAGTGGGAGGAAAGTTAGGTCAATGGGGATGTGCCCTCAAAGGAGATATTGGAACTCCAACCCTCCTCTTTCTCTCTTTGCTTCTAAGCCACCATGAAGTGAATAGGCTCTTCTTCACAAACTCCAGGAAACTGTAACATCACAGGACCAAAGCAACAAGGCCAAGCAACCATGCACTGAAACAATGTGCCAAAATAAACGTTTCATCTATACAAGATGCTTATATCAAGTATTTTGTCATACTGAAAACGGTGGACTAACATAAATGGCTAACAAAAAAATGTTGAACATCACTAAATCATCAGGGAAATGCAAATCAAAGTCACAAAGTTGAGATATCACCTCATCTCACAAAGAACAGCTATTATCAAAAAGAATAAAGATAACAAGTGTTGGTGAGGATGTGGAGAAAGGGGAGTGATCAAATAATTCCATTCCTGGTTATATATCCAAAGGAAATTAAATCAGTACATTAAAGTGACATGCACTGCCATGTTCACTTGAATTGCCAAGAAATGGAAACAACCTAAGTGTTATGAATGGATAAAAAAATGTGGCACATATATACAATGAAATGCTATTCAGCTGTAAAAAATAATGAAGACTTGTCATTTGCAGTAACATGGATGAAACTAGAGATCATTATATTAAATGAAATAAGCCAGATATAGGACAAGCACTACATGATCTCACTCATATGTGGAATCTGAAAAAGTTGATCTCAACTTGAGAATAGAATATTGGTTACCTTAGGGCAGGGGGTGTCGGGGGTATAGAGGGAAGGGGAAAGTTTGATCAGTAGGTACTAAGATAGGTGGAAAAAGTTCTGTGTGCTATTGCATAGTATGGTAGACATGGATAACAGTAATGTTCTGTACATTTCAAAAGGCTAGAGGAAAGGATTTTAAAAGTTGCACCATGAAGAAATGAAAAATGTTTGAGGAGATTTTTTTTGTCTTTGTTTTGAGACAAAGTCTTACTTTGTTGCCCAAGCTGATCTCATACTTCTAGGCTCAAGTAATCCTGTTTCAGCCACCCAAATGCTGGGGCTAGGCCACACGCCACCATGCTTGGTTAGAGGAGTTAAACATGTTTAAACTGATTTGAATATTGCTTAAATATAATGTATCGTGACATTGCATGGTATCACACTAATATGTACATTTTAAATTTTTATGTTTTTTAAATATGTACAATTTTTGTCTTTGTGTATTTTTAAATAAGTTTTTAACATTTTCAATGGTGTAGTATTTGCATATAACCTATGTACATTCTCCTTTGTACTTTAAATCACTTCTAGATTACTTAAAATGATATAACGTAAGTATATTAGTATTAAAACAACTAAGTAATTGTTTTATTGTATTGCTTAAAGAAAGTATTTATTCAGTATAGATGCAATTTTTGCTCTGAAAAAAGACTGAGCGAGGCATGGTGGTCCATGCTTATGATTCCAGATACTTGGGAGGCTGAGGCAAGAGGATCACTTGAGCCCTGGAGATCAAAGCCCAGCCTGAGCAAGACAGCAAGACCCTGTCTGAAAAAGAAAAAAAATTCTTCTTGCATAAGCCATTGATTCTCAAGTAAAGGTATCTTTGTCCACCAAAAAGTCTAGGGAGTTTTTGATTGTCACAACTACGGAGTTGCTACTGGCATCTAGCAAGTAGAGGCCAGGAATGCTGCAAAATATCCTATATTGCAAAAGACAGCCCACTACAACACAGAATTATCTAGTCTAAAATGTTAGTAGTGCAACTGGGAGCCCTAGCATTAGCCAAGCAATATCATAAAAGAGTAGGGGCTTCTCTGGTTAAAACAAGTTAAGATGGCTAGAGAATAGAGTGGCCTTGTTGGGACAGTTTACCTTAAGAGAGCTGTGCAGTGCTCCCATGCCCATGGTGACAGTCTGACCATCTCAAATCATACAAGAATTCTGGGTGGGAGCCCAGGTACCTACCTACTCACCTCTCTTGGGAGTGCTCTGGACTTAACAGATATTAGACTCTTCCTATGTCATCCTGGTTATCTCCCAAGCTTTTCTTACTTTTGATAAGGCTGCACACTTATTAATATTCCTGGCATCATATTTCCTGATTCCATCTTCCACCTTGCAATCACCCAAAATCTCTTTCCTTTCCATTAAAAGTTACCATCATGTACTTAACAGACGTTTACAGAGTGTTACATTCCACAAAATAAGAATACACATTCTTTTCAGCTGCACACCAGTTGTTCTCCAAAATAGACCACATACTTGCTCACAGAACATGTTTAAGTAACTGCAAAGGAACTGAAGTTATCCCCTGTATATTATCAGACCATAGTGTGATGAAACTGGAGATCCATAGCAAAAGAAACCATAAGAATTTCATAAACACATGGAAATTGAACAACACCCGCCTGAACAACCAATGGGTCACAGAGGAAATTAAAGAAGAAATCAGACAGATTTAATGAAAATGCCAATGCAACATATCGGAATTTATGGAACACAATGAAAGCAGTCTTCGGAGGGAAATTCATAGCAGTGAATACTCATATTAGGAAAACACAGCGAGCTCAAATAAACAACCTGATGCTGAACCTCAAGCTTCTAGAAAAAGAAGAGCAGGGCAAATCCAAAGCTCATACAAGGGAGGAAATTATGAAGACCAGAGGAGAAATCAATGCAATGGAGACTAAGAGATCAATACAAAAATGAAGCAAAGAGTTGGTTCTTCAAAAGAATAAACAAAATTGACAAACCCTTAGCCAACCTTATCAAAAAAGGAAAAGAAAAGGCCCAAATCAATGCAATTAGGAATGAAAAAGGTGAAACTGCAACGGACCCAGCAGAAATCCAGAGTCTCATCAATACCTACTTCCAGAACCTATACACCAATAAGATGAAAAACACAGAAGAAATGGACAGATTCCTAGATACATATGAATTACCAAAGTTGAACAAAGAAGACATAAAATTCTAAACAGTATCAAGGAATGAAACTGAAAAAAATTAAAACTTACCAACAAAGAAAAGCCCAGGTCCTGATGGCTTCACTGCTGAATTCTACATGACATTTAGAGAAGAACTATTACCACCATTGTTTAAACTCTTCAATGAAATTGAAAAGGAAGCAATACTCCCAAATTCATTTCTGAAAGCAAGCATCACCTTGATCCCAAAAGCAGAGAAAGACCTAACCAAAAAAGAGAACTACAGGCCAATCTCACTAGTGAACATAAATGCAAACATCCTCAATAAGACACTGGAAAACAGGGCCGGGGATTTAGCTCAGTGGCAGTGATCCTGCCTGGTAGGTGCAAAATCATGAGTTCGATCCCCGATACCAAAAAAAAAAAAAAGATACCAGCAAAAAATGCAGAAAACCATCAAGAAGACCATACACCCTGACCAAATGCAATTTATCCTAGGGATTCAAGGATGGTTAAACATATACAAATCAACAAATGTAATACACTATATTAACACAGCCAAGGACAAAAACCATATGATCATCTCAATAGATGCAGAAAAAGTGTTCAACAAAAGAAACACCCTACAGAAAAACCCCACAGAAAATTGGAATAGATGGTCTTTATATCAATCTGATAAAAGCCATCTATGAAAAACCAACAGCCAATATCATACTAAATGGCCAAAGACTGAAATCCTTCGCACTAAAATCAGGAACAAGACAAGGATGCACACTATCACCACTCCTGTTCAATACAGTCTTGGAAACATTAGCCATGGCAATTAGACAAGAGAAAGAAATAAAAGCAATACAGATAGGAAATGAAGAAGTTAAACTGTCATTATTTGCAGATGACATGATACTCTATATAGAAGACCCCAAGAACTCCACCAAAGGTCTTCTAGACTTAATGACCAAATTCAATAGAGTAGCTGGATACAAGCTCAACACACAAAAATCAATAGCGTTCCTGCACATGAACAACAGATTCACTGAGAGAAGAACTGGAGAAACAACCCCCTTCACAATAGTATCCAAAAAATGAAATACCTAGTAATCAATCTAATGAAAGAAATCAAAGACCTCTACTGTGAAAACTACACACTCTGAAAAAAGAGATCAAAGAGGAAATCAGAAAATGGAAAGACATCCCTTGGTCCTGGGTAGGAAGAACCAATATAATGAAAATAGCCATACTTCCAAAACTGATATATAGATTCAATGTAATCCCAATTGAAATTCCAACAGTATATTTCACGGAACTAGAGAAAACAATCCAAAAATTCATTTGGAAGCAGAAGAGACCTAGAATAACAAAAGCAATTCTAGGCAACAAAGACAAAGTAGGGGGTAACACAATCCCCAACTTGAAACTATACTACAAAGCTACTGTGATAAAAACAACATAGAACTGTCAAAGAAACAGACTGGAGGATCAATGGAACAGATTAGAAGATGCAGAAACAACTCTAGACATACTCAGCCACTTCATTTTTGACAAGCCAAACACCCTCACTGGAGGAAAGATAGTCTCTTTAATAAATGGTGCTGGAAAAATTGGGTTTTAATTTGCTAAAGATTAAATCTAGACCTATTATCTTTCACCATGCACTAAACTAAAAGCAAAATGGATCAAAGATCTCAATATTAAAACAAAAACACTAAACCTGGTGGAAGACAGTTTCGGTAGAACTCTTGAAGAGACTGATGTAGGAAGACTTTATGAACAAAACCTCAGTCACATGTGAACTAGCACAAAGAATCAACAACTGGGGCCAGGGATTTAGCTCAGGGCCGGGGATTTAGCTCAGTGGTTCTGGCGCCTGCCTCGCAAGCGCAAGGTCCCGAGTTTGATCCCCGGTACCAAAAAAAAAAAAAAAAAATCAACAACTGGGATCTCATCTCATTAAAAAGCTTCTGCACCGCAAGAGAAACCATCAACAGAGTGAAGAGACAACCCACAATCTGGGAAAAAAATTTTACCAGCTATTCCTCAGACAAAGGCTACTATCTAGATTATATAAAGAATTTTAAAAAACCAGACCTCCCAAATTTAAAGACCCAATCCAAAAATGGGCATCTGAAATGAACAGACATTTCTCAGACAAAGAAGTAGAAACAGCAAAGAAACATGAAAAATGTTCAACATCACTGGTCATTTGAGAGATGTAAATGAAAACAATACTGAGTCTCTACCTCAATCCAGAAAGAATGGCTGCTATCAAGAAATCAACCAATAACAAATGCTGGTGGGGTTGTGGGGAAAAAGAAACCCTTCTCCATTGCTGGTGGGAGTGCAGACTGGCGCAACCACTGTGGTAATCAGTATGGAGACATTCAAAAAACTGGGATTAGCGGTCCCATTTGAGCCAGCTATTCCTCTGCTGGGGATCTTCCCCAAAGAATTAAAAGAATTATACCACAGCGATATATGGGCACCCATGTTTATAGCAGCACAGTTTGTAACAGCTAAATCTTGGAAACAGCTCAAATGCCCAACTTGTGACTGGATAAAGAAGATGTGGGGGGTTTTTTGGGGTTTTTTTTTATGAAATGGAGTACCACTCAGGAATAAAGAATGAGAAACTAAGGGCCGGGGATTTAGTTCAGTGGTTCTGCTGCCTGCCTTGCAAGCACAAAGTCCTGAGTTCGATTCCTGGTACCAAAAAAAATAAAAATTAAAAAAAAAGAATGAGAAATAGATGTACAATTGAGGCCATACCCTTAAGTTAAATAAATAGGACACACATGTGTAAATACGGAATTGTTTCTCTGGTGTGAGAATCTGAAAGTGTAAATGAGGTCCCAAATATATAATAGGTAATGTGAAATAGGAAGAAAAGGTCCAAAAGGAAAGGGGAAGGGGAGGGGGGGTTAGAAGGGAAAGGAAAAAATATGAGCAAAGAAAAACGGAAACAAAGTCTTTTAAATAGAAAGGGGTGGTTTGAGGGGTTGAAGGGAGGGCAGGGGAAAGAGGAAAAAATAAGAACGAAAATATATCATGTACAGGGAAAAATTCCCAATGATGAATGTCATCATATTGTATACCTAAAATGTACCATTTAACTTAATGTATTAAAAAAAAGTTGCCATCATCTTTAGAAAGAAGAGTGGCTGCCTCTGGGCAAAGTGAGGACAATACTGAGAGGGAAGGGGAACAAAGGAGAGCATTTTAGGGGGCTAGAAATGTTCCATATGTTGATCTTTGTGGGAAGTAATACATAAAGTAAAAATTCAATGATCTATGTGCTTAAAATAGGCATACTTTATGCTATACCCAAATTTTACAGGATGTCATGAAGGAAACTGTATCTATGACAGCATTTTATTATAGAGCACCACACACACATACACAAACACACGAGCATTCTCTTTTTCTCCTGTGCTACTTATGCCTGCTATTTGCTCTTCAGCACCCCTCAGCCTTAGAGAACTAAGGAAATAGCAGCTGTGATATGCCAAAGATAACTTGTGCAAGGCCTTGGATATACAGGTTAGAAGAACAAGATCTACATACAATGAATTTCTCGGTGGAGTCTCCCCTGAACTAGTGGGATGTGTGGAGGATGGGGCCAGATAAGCACACTAATCTGAATGGTAGGGCCAAATGCACAAAGACCAGAAATCTCTCCCTGAGGCTGTCAAGCTAAAATAACTGCTGTCTTTTCATTGACCCTGGGGCTCTGAACACAAGCTCTGGAGATCTCAACTTCTCTGTAAAAGTTGCTTGAGACTGTCCTAAGAGAGACCAATCCACAGCTAGTTACAGAAAAAGGAAATCACTGCCAAAATGACCCACTGAATGCACTTAGAAATGCAAAAAGCACAATCCTCAAAATCCTTCAGGTTGGTACTTTGTCTTCTGAAGAAGTCCTGAAAATTGATCTGTTCCAATTACATCTGATTCACCCTTTCCAACTGTATCTGGATGCCAGGGCATGTCAGGTAAGGGAAAAATTCACTTCAGGAAAGGTGATACTTTCACCAAACTGGAAATCTTTCCAAAAAGAAGAAAAACTGAGATGTTTGATTTCTTTCTTACCGGCCTCGCTGAAGCAACTCCCAGTGAGCTGGTCCAGTGGTCAAATTGAAAGCCCCAGGATACACCAAGAGCTGGCATCCTGGGGGAGTAAAAAGGCAAAGAACAGGGAGTCATCAGCACTAAGATATGGCTCTGAATTCTTTGAGACACACTCGTAAAACACAGTCAGAAGAAAAGTGGGACTGATGCTTGAGATCAGAACATGTGCCTTCACTTTAAAAAAATGGAGAACTCTCAAATTTCTCTCAGCATGATAAGTTCAGTGTTGTACATCCAAGAACCATGCTTTGTGACTCTTCAACTAAAAATAAGGGCAGAGCAGTTCCTGTAGTGCTTATTGTAAGGCTCAGCAGAGACTGTTAAACCCAGAGCCTGGGACCTCCACCTTCTGCTAAGCAGGCAGTCAAGTCAGAAGTTAAGTGGCAGTCAAGTAAGAAGTTAAGTGGCAGTCAAGTCAGAAGTAGCATCACCAGTCCAGTAAGGTTGTTAATATTTGCTGAGTACCACAGGAGAGGCTTTGTAAGTTCTCTTCTGTTAATCCTTATACCATTTCTATAAGGAAGTTAAAAACTACAATGCTGTAGAGGTTAAATGGTTTCCCCAAAGTATTATGCCAATTAAGGGGAAGAGTTAGAACCAGAAACCAGATCTGGTTTGGTTCAGTGTGCTTTCCAGACACTAAATGCTTCTCTTTGTTTGAACGAAAGTATCACAGAGTATATGTCTGAGTGCTGGAATCACAAGAGCGCAGGCCATGTCTTCATTTCTTCTAGGCAGCAAGTGACTCCAAACACAGTTAACAGGAGGGACCCAAAAGGTAGACTGGACATTTGAAAGCATGGCTTCTGCCTTAGCAATGTAGAATGTGTTAAGTCAGAAGTATCTAAAAACCTTATCATCCATATGCAGCACAGTCTAAGACAGTCTAAGAAGCCAGACAGGGGTGGAGGAGCTATACATGGAGAGAGTAAGACTCCACCCCTAAATGTTTTGTGCATTTGTGCAAAATTAGGGCTAAGAGGGCCAGGGATTTAGCTCAGTGGCACCACACAGGCACGAGGCCCTGAGTTTGATACCCAGTACCACCAAAAAAAAAAAAAAAAAAATTTGGGCTAAGAGTTCCTTCTAGCCCCACAGAAACCAGCCCAGAACCAAACCTCCAAAAAATTATGTAACAGAACTGTAGCACTGCCTCACCTCTCTGTGCATAGATTTGTGCAAGCTCTGCAAAGCGCATGTCGTAGCAGATGCCTAGGCCCACTCTGCAGTAAGCTGTTTCCAAACAGAAAAGCACAAATGAAAAGTTAAACTTCTGTAGCATGGTGTGACACCATAAAGCTTCCATGACTTAATGAACACAATACACTGACAAGTACAAATTAACACAGAACCCCTGGATAGAGACAATTTGTAAGTCCAATCCTATTGGGACTTCATCTGATATAGACATCATTTACATCATCAGAGTAGAGACAAGAAATTCATTTCAACTGAATGCTCCTTATCTAGGTACAAGATTCAATCAAGACCTAACAAGAAAACTCTGAATGCTATTATAGGAGGTTTTGACCAAGTGGAAGAGTAAAATCATGTTAAACCCTTAATTCTCCACTTGAACCCAACTTTCCACATCTCTGACTGTTCTCTGTCTTCCTCATTTCTGGTCTTTCAAACAGGTTATGTGGAGAAAGACACAAAAGAAAACGAAAGGTATACCTATTCCTCTTCACTGGGACTACTAAAAGAGGCAAACTTATCTGGTACATACGGGTATCAAATGTGGAGAAACTATCACCAGGACTCAATGTTTTAGATTCTTGAAATGTAATTTTCCCAGGAACATCAATGTCAAACAGATGGATCTGCATCACAAATAATTGATTTGGTTATTATCTTTTTCCAAGCATAGTTCATGGCAGTAAGGACAGACTTTCCATAGGTAGATATAGAAGTGTCCTAAAATCAACTGTACAAACATTACACCCAACCTGCCCATAATCCACCCACAAGCTGGCTGACATCTAATCACAGGAATTCTACCACAGGAAACTGGGAAAATGATGCTATAGGTTTTATAATACTTTTTCAATATAGTGTGCAAATCAATGTCCACTATAAATGACTTACTTATAAATGACTATAAATTACTTACTTATAAATGGTATAAGTAAAGATTTCTCAGAATCTGAATCAAACTGACAAATTAGCAGAAGAGGTGGAAAATAAACAACATTTAAAAACAGGTAAAATTCTGCAAGCCAAATTCAGTAATGTATAAAAACAATAATGCATCACTTCTTAATTTAATTTATTCAAGGAAAGCAAATGTAGTTTCACATTAGAAAAGCAATGTAATTTATCATAAAGTAAAAGAGAACATCACACAATTGTCTCCAGAAATGTATATTAAGTATTTGGTAAATAACAGTGTGTGTGCACGTGCACGTGCGTGCACATATGGTGTTGGAGATTGAATCAAGAACCTTGCACTTGCAAGGAGAGCAATATATCTCTGGGCTACATCCCCGGCCTCCATGTAGTAGACTTCTACAACTATTCATGATTTAAAACAACACAAGCAGGCATGGTGGTACATGCCTGTAATCCCAGCACTCTGGGAGGCAGAGGCAGAAGGATCACAAGTTCAAGCTCTGCCTGGATAATTTAGTGAGTTAGTGAGATCTTGTTTCAAATAAAACATGTTCAAACAAAAGGGGGCTGGGGATGGATGTAGCTCCGTTTAAAGGCCAACTTCAATTCCCAGTATCACTAAATAAATTACAAAAAATTCTTCCAGGAAGTGAACTTTTTAAATTTGATAAAGAGTATCTTTAAAAATTCTAAACAAACATATTGAAAAATATTGAAATAAAATAAAATATTGAAAGCCTCCTCTCTGAGACTGGAAAAAGAAAAGACATCTTTTATTCAGAACTATACCACATACGCTACGTAGAGCAATAAGGTACAAGAAAGGAGTAAAATGTATAAAGACTGGAAAGAAAAAATGAAATTTATCATTATTCTCAGACTATATAATTGATACACAAAAAAGTCTATAAAGTATTAGAATTAATGAGTTAAGTTTAGCAAGGCTTTTATACACAAGATCAGTACTTTAAAAACTAGTGTACTTGTATATACTACCAAGAAAGAGAAAATGAAAGACCATCAAAAAATACCAGTAAGAGCAGCCAGGTGTGGTGGCACATGCCTGTTAATCCCAGCACTTAGGAAGCTGAGGCAGGAGGACTTCGAAGAGCTCAAGGCCAACCTGGGCTACAAGGTGAGTTCAAGGCCAGCCTGAACTACAAAGCAAGACCCTGTCCAAAAAATCCCAAGCCGGGGATTTAGCTCAGTAGTTCCACCACCTGCCTTGCAAGCACAAGGTCCCGAGTTCGACTCCCGGTACCAAAAACAAAAAAATCCCAATGAGGAATAATCTAAAAAATTATATATAAGACTAAACCCAGAAAACTATAAAAAGTTGAGAGAAACTAAGGAATGGCACAAAAAGAGAGATGTATTACACAATTATGGTAAGCTCAATATCGAAAAGGTATACTTCAAAGAACTGAGTGTTTAAGTTGGCTCTTCTTCCTGCAATGGTACAGTGGCTCCTATCAGATCAGCTCTGATATTTCACTATGAATTCTGGACAAAAATAAAAGACACAACCACTTAAAGAACTGAAGAACAACCCAAGACATATAAAGCCTGAAGGAAGTCAACACTTGAAAGAAGAGAATAACACTGGGTGAGTTTTGTTTTACCTCAGGCTGGCCTCAAACTTGCAGCAATCCTCCTGCCTCAGCCTCCTGAGTGCTGGAATCACAGGCATGCACCACCACACCCGGCTTGGGTTTCTCATTTGTTAACAGCTTTCAACTGTAAGCCAAGCCCCAGGTCTGCTATGAGTAACTGTAATAACCACCCCCAATTATACTGCTCTGAAGAACCAAAGACTAGAGTTTCATAGCAGCTGAAAAAACAGTGTGGGGGAGAATCCTGAAACAGAGAAAGCCAAAGAGGGAGACGCCTAACTTCTACATAAACAATCTGTCCACATCTTTGGATGACCATGGAATTAAAACAGAGGCACAACCACCAGGTAGCCAGCTGAGGCTAAACAACTTTATAAACAAAACAGCAGCTAAAATCGTTGTTCACCTCATGAAGAAGTTAAAAATTTCATGTTTGAGAATAGCCAAGTTACTTAGTTACTCAAAAATATTTTACACTTTTTGGAGGAATATAATAGAACCTAGAATGTCTATAACATATAATCCAAGAAACAATCCTAATTTACTTGACAAAGAAACAGAAATGTTACCAAATGCCAAGGAAAAGGTAATCAAATCGGCACCCAGGTATGATAATTACCCAAAACTTACCCAAAGACGAGGATTGAAACTAAGCTCAAGAGCATAAAGAAAAATATGTTCTTAATAAACAAGTAGGAACGATCAGTAAAGAACTAAAAACTATTTAAAAAAGAACCAAATGGGTATTTTAGAACTGAAAAATTTAATATATGAATTTTTAAAACATTTCACTGGATTGACTTACAGGATGCTGGAGAAAGTGCCAGTGAACCTGACAGATCAACATTCTTATCTAATCTGTAGAACAGAGAGAAAAAAGACTAGAAAACAAAATTTAAAAACCAGGGCTAGGTGTGAAGCCTCAATGGTATAGTACTTGCATAGCGTGAGTGTGGGCCTGGGTTTGATCCCTAGCACTGCAAAAAACTAAACAAAATAAAAATTAAAAACCTAGACTCTTGCTGACTTTGACATAATATCAAAAACTATAACATGTTATATAAATATATAAAATAAACATATATAAATAAATATATTATATATAAATATATAAAATCACATAATTATGTATAATATATAATATATGTAAATATACAATACAGTATAATATATAGTATATTATATATGATTCTATATTATATATTATTATATATTAATATTATATGCAATATATAAAATATATATTATACATATATTACCAACAAAAATATCTTTCAAGAATGAACACAAAATAAAAACACAGTCATAAGCAAAAACAAATCATAGCATGCAGATCCTCTCTACAAAAATGCTGATGGAAATCCTTCTGTCTAAAAGAAAAGATAGCAGCATAGGATCTTTAGGAAGGAAAGGAAAGTACCAGAAATGGTAAATATTTGGGTAAGTTATGATTTTTTCTTATTTTAAAGTATTTATGACTAGTTAAATCACAAGCTACTGTTTTGAGAGATTTATAACATATGAATATGGAATCCATATGGTAACTACAGTATAAAAAATCGGGGATACCACAGGCATAGGCAAGAACTTTCTGAACAGAACCCCAACACCACAGTAAGTAGTACCAAGAGTCAACAAAATGGATCATATCAATTTAAAAAGCTTCTGAACAGCAAAGGAAACAACCAACAGAATGAAGAGACAACATATACAATGGGAGGGCCGGGAATTTACTCAGTGGTTCCACCGCCTACCTTGCAAGCGCAAGGTCCCAAGTTCAATCCTGGTACCAAACAAACAAACAAACATACAATGGGAAATAATTTTGCCAGCTATTCCTCAGAGGACTAATATTTAGAATATATAAAACCTCAAAAAAAATTAGACCTACCCCAAAAATAAAAGACTAAATCAAAAAATGGGCAACTAAAATAAATAGACATTTCTCATAAGAAAAAGTACATATGGCAAATAAATACATGAAAAAATGTTCAACATTGCTGGCCATTAGAAAAATGCAAATTAAAACAACACTGCCTTAAAAAATAAAAAATATTTAGATCTTTAATCCACTCTGATCTTAGTTTAGTATATAAAGAACTGAAAAAAATTGGACTGCCCAAATTCAAAGACCCAATTCAAAAATGGGCATCTGAAGTGAACAGACATTTCTCATAAAAAGATGTAAAAGCAGCAATTATATATGTGAAAAAATGTTCAACATCACTGGTCATTCGAGAGATACAGATGAAAACAACACTGAGATTCCACTTCACCCCAGAAAGAATGGCTGCTATCAAGAAATCAACCAATAACAAATGCTGGCGGGGGTGTGGGGAGAAAGGAACCCTTCTCCATTGTTGGTGGGGAGTAC